AAAAAAAAAGAAAAAAAGCAAGCTTCAACAATCAAAGGAATTTTTATTATTTTTAATCATCAAATCAGTTTCTGTAATATTTTATAATACATTTTTAATAATTTTATTAGATTTATTTCTATGTTCAAAGATTACTAATGTAATAAAACTATGTTATTGAAAGTAATCTAGAGCCCCTTTCATTGTACCGGTGCAAACAAAAAAATCCACCATTTTTTTTTTTTCCGGTGCTGGTGGGGTCAGGACATGTGAAGGAAATTTCATTCAACTAGAAAAGCATAAATTGGCTATTTCAAAGTTATTCCCCATCTAATTTGTATGCTTAACTTGTTGTTTAAGGTTTTTATGTTATTTAATGGCTAAAACGGAGTATTAATACATTTTTATAGCTTACCGTATGATCAAAGTGACACAACAAAAAACGGAGCTGATTCAAGTTGCTCTAAAGACATGTGCGTCACCGGAAGACAAATATTAAACGTCATCGATGACAAAACAAATGTACAAATAGGAATCTGTGACGTAAACGCATAAATCCGAGGTTACCGTAGAAGCGATTGTAAGATGGCCACTTCAATTTTTGCGTTTTTTTTCCTTCTGCGCAGAATGAATGCGCAAGGGAGTATCGGTATGCCTAATTATATGTCACAATAATCACAAAGTTTCTAATTCTATGGTAAGGGTGATAACCCTAACCTTAACCTAAAGTTTTCAATGATAAAATTTCTGAGCGCCCTAGATTGAGTGGGTTAATGAATGGTACAAAACATTCTTTTAAATGCATCCATCTCTAACTCTATAGTACTAGTGTACCTGTAGGTGAAACAACCTGCCACAAGAATATGCTATTATTATTATTATTTTGTCTAAATATTTTTCGCAGCACATGCACTTACTTCTTTTGATACTTCATGGCCAGTATAATAATAATAATAATAATAAAGTTCATTTCAAAAACACGCTTCATCCCCAAAGGCTCGAAGCGCGGTACAAAGTCAAAAAAAAAAACAAATCTATAGTTTACCACATGTTCAAGCATTGATTTGGTCATTTCTAGCCGAGATGGATTTCTCTTGGCAACAAGCTTTATCTTTGCCTGGCATCCCAATTTGAAAGAACTGAAAAATATAAAAATTCTCAACGAATTGCCACAAGT